CCTTCCTTCCTTCCTTCCTTCCTTCCTTCCTTCCTTCTTTCCTTCCTTCCTTTTTCTGTGCCTAAATTCTTTTTCTTGAGCAGCTGATATTTGGTAGGACAGAATTTGGTTATAATTTTCTAAGAAAATTACCTTTTTCTCTATACTATCCTCCAAAATATAGATACATTTAAGAGAGTATTTAATTTCTCTTTTCACCTTTTTTTATTTTAAATTTTAGCATGACTGGTTTTTCACAGAAGACGGTGCTGAAGAGCCTCTTGTAAGTATTGTCCGTCAGCATTTGTGCTCTATAATTTTCATTTGGGACGCGAGATCCTGACGCTACAACAATGTCAACTTCCTGCTTTGTACGCTCTTGTCCGCTTTGCACCCGGAAGCAGGGCCATAGCTCCGCGGCTTCTGATCTAATGAAAATACAAGTATGATGCTCATTTTTTAGTTAACTCTGTGTAAACAAGGTAAAAAAAAAAAATGAAGCCCATGTGCTCCACTCTGATGTCTTTTATCGAATGTTGTTTGCATTTTAAAGAAGGTATCTTTGAAGAGATGATGAAGAGATCTTTGTTTATTAACCATAGACAACAGTGCAGGAGGAGAACACAGTGGACTCCCAGCCAGTGCCAAACATAGACCATTTACTCACCAACATCGGAAGGACAGGAGTGCCCCCTGGAGATGTATCAGGTAACCCTTGCCTGGGCAGTGTCGATCTAGAGGTTAAAAGCTAAATTCTTATAACATAAAAAAGCAAATTAATCATAAGTAACAATTCGCTATGATTTTTTTTCCTTTTCTTCTTTTTTTTTCCTTTCTACTAATAAAAACGTAATCTTCCTTTTCTGATTGATCTTAATTATCTTCCAGTGACTATAATGCCATTGGCAGTGCATGGAGTTGTAATGCTTGTCAGAATGGAAATATGAGGGAAACAAGCATGCGAACCACTGTTTTGTTCTTTTTTTTTTCTTTTTAATTCACAGTTTCCATGTAATAGTCATCACAAGGTAAAACAGATATATGCTACTGAATATGTGGTTGCTGTGATGGCAGAAAGTAAGATGTAGACTGAGTAGTTCTTATTCTTGAGCTAGGCGTTCTGTTTAAAAGCAGCAAATGAAATACGTTGAACTGCTCATGGGCACCATTTTTATAAATACGGTATATTATTTGTCACTATAGATGTCACAGTAAAAGTCAATCTGACATTTTCTTCTGTTTTCTCTTGCCACCCTAACGCTTGGTTAAGTATGACTTCTAATAGGCTCTTTCGGTGAAAATTTTCTCCTGCCAAACTGTTGCACTAATCCAGCATGTTGTTTTACACAATGTTCTCCCTTTGTCTCTAGTTCTTGTTCTAGTCCTAAAGGGTTTTTTCAGCTCTCACTGACACAGGCAAATCTATACTGATGTTGAACAGGCGAAGTGGGAGGAGTCTATCACACGGTAATGTCGCTAGTGGATTCCGTGGTGTCCCTGATGGACAGCTGGAACTGTAGGAAGAAGGAGGATTGCTGTCCACACTGTAGCTGCCTGGTCTGCAGAAACCCCCGGTTCTTGTAAATGCAAACATCGTTGATCTGTGGTGTACATTTTCTCTTAAGATTATTGTAAACAGATCAATACTACTTTCTTAAAAGTTTTTCTGCTGTTTCTTGTTATTTCTGAAGCAGACCGTGAGGAGAAATAGCATGGTATGGTCTACAGTTCTTAAAGTCATAAGCATTTAGCCATGTGTGAAAAGGGGCGTGGCACGGGGCTCAGCTCATTAATTTTGAAAATCGATTTCCCTAAAGTTGCAAGATAAAATTTCAAAATTGAGATTATCTGGAATAGTGCTAGCCCCTTCCTACCCTCTTTGTAATTGTATAATCTGAGTTTTTGCCAGACAGTAAAATTATGGTCTCCATTTTTCCATTTCCATAATAGCATTTGTTAATAGAGAATTACAAAGCTGGTAGCAATTTATAACCAAACTAGTCAAAAGGATCCCTGACTTGCACAGATATGAAACTGGGGTCTAAAGCACAAAGATCAGCATTATTTAATATAAAACCAAAGTGACCTGGAAACGGGGTTATCCTGATGCATCCATACGCATACAGTATATGCTTATAAAATTTAAGTTTGACAGTCTGACAAAAATCAACGAAAATACACCGAGTGTCTCAATTTGTAGCTAAGGCAGCCAGCGGTCTTAAAAGTTCTACATTGTGTATCAGTTTCAGATACAGGATGTGGTACATAATACGATTCTTAAAAAGGTCTTCAAGCTTCTTTATTGCTAGAGTTAATATTTAGAAAATTTAATAAACACTAGTATTTCTGTTTTTGTTTAGTACAGGGCTCCTTTGCCATTCCTATCATTGAGCTGATTCTGCCTACAATTCACAGCATCCTTTCATGGCGGTGGCTTTCTGTGGTGCAGCTTGCATCTTTGTGAGCTCTGACTATCCACTGTGTCCTGTTGTTTGTTTGAGTTTTGCTTTCCCATTTTGTTCTGTGCCTGTCTTTTCCATAAGTTTTGCAATGTTTGTTGAAAAAGGTAAAGATTGACTAATACTGACCATGTTTTATTTAACTTCTCACAGATTCAGCTACTAGTGACTCAACAAAATCTAAGGTAAATGGTTTCATACAATTTTGAAGTATTTTAGGGGGGAATTGCTTTTTTGGCCAATGATGATTAGTGTAGAAACGCATCCCTTTACATTAGTATACAGAGGTCTTTCTTCGACCTTATGCTATCTGACTTTTGTGATTTTGTTGTTAACCTTGGGATAACTGCAGACATTATTAACCTGATCTACCTAAGTCAGGTCCCTGAAGTCAAGCCCGGCCGAGCTAATAGAAGACCGAAGTCTTACAAAGGGGGAAAAGAATCTTAAAGTAGAATATGATGGAAGAATACTGGACTGTGAATTGGAACGTTGGGTTTCTCTCAGCATAGTTTAGCATAATACAAAGAAATAGGCCTTTTTTCCCCCCTCATTCTTTAATGTGAAAAACTTCTAACACGTACAGAGTGGAGAGACTAGTGTGATGAGCCTCCATATCCCCATTATCCATTCTCAACAATTAACACGTGGCCAAGCTTGTTTCATTCTCACTCCACCCACTTTCCACCTCTTGAGACTATTTTGAGGCAAATCCCAAATATCACATCATTATATCTGTAAATATGTCAGTAGTAATATATACTTTTCTTCTTATTATTTATACTTATAGAAAGTATATATTTTATTTCAGCAAAATTACTGCTTTGTTTCATAATCAATATTTTTTAGCATGATTTGCGTTCCATTGACAACACCACAGAATTACATAGCCTTTTGAGTGGTTTTTAGGAAATTCTTATAGTTGTTAGAAAGTTTTTTATTAAATCAATTTGTCCAAACTTTGTTCTGGTGAGAGAGTAACGACTAATTGGCAATAAGTTTCTAAAAATATGTTATATTTGGAATGAGACATTAATTTTACATATCATGTTTAAATATCGTAATGGGGCTATGTGTGATTAAATTATAATTCTTGCAGAAAACAATATTTTAGTTATATCATTCACTATCACTTATGTTGGATTTTCACCATTTTTTTTTTTTTTTGCCCCAACTTTTTATTTTGGATAATTTTAAACCTATAGAAATGTTACTAGAATAATAGTTAGCACTCAAACCTTTACCTTAGGTTACTCAGTTGGTAAATCTTGATATATATAATTTTTCTTTCTGAATCATTTGAAAGTTACTTATAGACAGGATAACGCTTTGCCCCGAAATGCTTCAGCTGGTGTCCCCTAAGAACAAGGTCATTTTTCTACATAATCACAGTGTAATTATTGTACATAGTCACAAGTACGATACATTATTATTTCTAATGTACAGAATTTACACAAATTTCCCCAGTTGTCCCAATAACTGTGCAGGATGCAATCAAAGATTACTCCTTGCATTTAGTTGTCATGACTCTTTAGACTTCTTTAATCTAGAACAATTTCCCATCTTTTTTTGCCAGAAGATGAGATTTTAGATTTCTATTTTGATTTTAGATTTCAGACCTGTTTGAATTTCGTCCATCCCATTTGCTAGATGCATATTTCTTAACCCGTTGTTTGTTATAGCCATCTCTTTGGGTTGTTAATTATGGCGGTATTTATACCATGCCTGTGTTATAATGGATATTCGAATGGTGTAACTCTTCGCAACAGCTTCTCAGTTGTAAAATAAGTAAAGTCATCTGCCCCAACACATATATGATCACAGAATCGTAAGATTTTAAAGAGAACCCGAAGACACTTTAATGATAATATAATCTAATTTCATCTCACTTAATGAAATTGGACATTAAAAAGTGAATCACTTGCTCAGTGTCATACACAGCAACCTAGAAGGAACACTCTAGAGGAAGAACCGCCAGGTCTCCAAACTCAGAGCCCTGTCACAACTGTTTATCCCCGCAGTCCTCAGCAGAATGTGTTAAAATGTGAATAATCATTAGGTATGTACTGGATAATTATGAAATTCTTTATTTTCAGAAACAAAGTTCTAGTCTGTGAGTTCATTTTGGTGAATTCTTTTTAATATGACAGCCTCGATTTTTTTATTTTTCAAGACTTCGGTATAGTCGTTTTAGCTCGTGATTTTTCGCTTTAGATTTTTATGGCAATAGAGAGATACACTTTCTGCTTCTATTACTTGGCATACTTCAGGCCTGCCTGCTTGTCTTGAATGGTGTGTGGTAAACCAGCAAGTGTTATCGACCCCTACTGCCACCATTTACTTCGCGTGGAGGCATTACGGACAAATTAATTGAATAGTTGTCATCAGGAACCTAGTACACATAGCTGACAAAGCCAGTAGCCTGCACTACAATTTTTCTAACAACAATGCTCTAAAGTATTTCTGTGGTAAGCACTTAAGATCTATAGTCAACCTTATGTTATTTGAAGTTTTTGTTTTTGTTGTTATCTTGAGATAAAGACATTGCCAACTTGGTCTACCTAAGACAGGTCCCTGAAACCCAGCCCGCTGAACTAACGGAAGACCAGAGGGTTCTCATGTCTTAACGAGCCGATCAGATACAGCATCTCTATCTTGTGGGGTCGATAGTCAGAAAATTGAAGTCAGCCACAAGCTTTTAGTAAGCTGTGTCAGAATACTATGTTCAACTATGTTGGAGTACTGACTCTTATACCTACGTTCACACGAGAACCTGAGGGCTGAGCTTTGCAACAGCAGGGAAAGTCAGCACAGGCCGGGGAATCAGTGAGAACAGGAGAGCTAGCTGGCACTAGGCACAAAATATTTCTTTCAAAGATAAATGTGTATGAGCTGTGACTTGGCAGGTAAATCACACCTGTATGACGTGCCAGTACATACCACCAGGCATTAAATGGGACTAGTTAAATAAAAAGTGAAATTTATCTTAAATTATCTTAATATATAGATAAATCGAAATTTGTCTTAAAAGGAAGTATGAAAAACGAGTTGCATTCTGTTAGTGCTTCTAGAGCTTTAGCAGAAGTAATTCAGTAAAAAATACTTGGGAAAAAAGCTTTTCAGAAAATGAACTCGATAATGTTCTTATGCTTCAAGTCTCGTTTCTGATCGCTCCTCAGGGTTCTTGGGGACCTGGAAAAGAACAATACAGCAGAGATCTGCTCGTGTCCTCCATCTTCGCAGCCGCTAGCCGCAAGAGGAAGAAGCCAAAAGAGAAAGCACAGCCTAGCAGCTCAGAAGACGAACTGGACAATGTGTTTTTTAAGAAGGAAAACGCAGAGCAGCGTCACAGCGATACTAAAGAAGAATCCAAAAAGGACAGTGAGACATTGGGCAGAAAACAAAGGGCCGTCCTTTCCAAAGAGAACAACGCTAAGAAAGACAGCAGCGCAACGAAAGATGAGAAGACGTCCGGTCGAAAGGAGAGTCTGCCGTCTGAAGAACACTCACCCCGCCACGGTTCCAGGCTCAGCAAGTCACCCACTCCCAGCGGCCGCCTCGCCATCCTGAAAGACAGCCCCGGCTCCCTCGGGACACAGAAGTCGTCCCACTTTGAAGAGACGGGGTCAGACTCCGGCACTTTGCTCAGCACTTCGTCCCAGGCTTCTCTGGCCAGGTTCTCCACTAAGAAATCCACCAGCCCAGAAACCAGACATGGTGAGTTTTTGGCCAATGTCAGCACCATCACCTCAGATTATTCAACCACGTCGTCTGCTACCTACTTGACCAGCCTCGACTCCAGCCGGCTCAGCCCCGAGGTGCAGTCCGTCGCAGAGAGTAAGGGAGACGAAGCTGACGACGAGAGAAGCGAACTGATCAGTGAGGGGCGGCCTGTGGAGACCGACAGCGAGAACGATTTCCCTGTTTTTCCTGCCGCCTTGACATCAGAGAGGTTTTTCCGGGGGAAACTACAAGAAGTTACTAAGACGAGCCGGAGGAATTCGGAAGGAAGCGAAGTGAGCTGTACCGAGGGCAGTTTAACACCCAGTCTAGATGGTCGGAGACAGCTCTTCAGTTCCCATAAGCTGATCGAATGTGACACGCTCTCCAGGAAAAAATCGGCTCGGTTCAAGTCAGACAGCGGAATCCTAGGAGAGGCCAAGAACGAGAAAGAAACGCCTTCCATAACGAAGGTGTTCGATGTCATGAAAAAGGGAAAGTCAACAGGGAGTCTGCTAGCACCGACCAGAAGTGACTCAGAAAAACAGGAGCCCACTTGGAAAACGAAAATAGCAGATCGGTTAAAACTGAGACCCAGAGCCCCGGCAGATGACATGTTTGGAGTAGGAAATCACAAAACGAATCCCGAGACCACCAAAAGGAAAAACATCAAACGTCGACATACACTTGGAGGGCACAGGGATGCTACTGAGATCAGTGTTTTGAATTTCTGGAAAGCACACGAGCAGAGTGGGGAGAGAGAATCTGAACTTTCAGCCGTGTCTCGGTTAAAGCCGAAATGCTCGGCCCAGGACCTGTCCATCTCAGACTGGCTTGCGAGGGAACGCTTCCGGACCAGCACGTCTGACCTTAGAGGAGAAACGGGAGACTCCCAGCCGGACAGTACTAGCACGTTAGAGAGTTCCATGATGGACGCACCTGTATCTTTTCACTCCGATGCAGGTAGTTCTTCCAGTACCCTGGCTTCAGCTCACAGGCCCCTTCTCTCCATACCACCACAGTCACCCGACCAAATAAATGGAGACAGCTGCCAGAATATGAGCCAGAATGCTAGTTCCGCAGCTAATGCCCAACCTCATAAACTGTCTGAATCCCCAGGCAATAAAGCAGAGCTTCATCCCTGTCTTTAAACTGGGGCTACGTCCACTATAGCAAATAAAAAGCTACTGTCACAGGTTTCAGTAACTCTGTAAGTATGTTCTTGTACCAGAATCGTTATTATGCAGCCTTCGTTTGGGCTGGTTTCATCATTTTGCGCTGTGAAATGGCTTTACAGTGCATTGCTGCAGCCAGAAGACACACACACACACACACACACACATATTTAAAAATATATTGGATAGTTGTATACAAATGAGTAAGGTATTTGTTGCAACTTACTACATAGTGTATACACAAGGTTACTGAAGAAAATCGCTGGCATTAGTGAGCAGCAAATCTGTCCTTTGGTTTCATCACTAACAAAAGTGCCTCATCATAAAAATCCGTTTGGTTCTTAGGGTGCCATATTGTTAAAATTAGATAACTTGCATTGAAGAAATGAATGCATTTTCTTGGTAACAAGTTTCATTGCATTTACCAGTTTTAACACAGGTGGATACGGAACTTCCATTCTTTAGTCATTCCAGGTGGATCTCTGAGTTTTATATTCAAACTTTTAATACAGTTTTTGAGTTTTGCGTGACTTGAATTTTTAATCTTTCTGTAAAATAAGTAACTTAAATGAACATATTATATGTGTATCTTTTCTTCAGATACCAGATTTGATATAAATGTTGTAACATAGGTGTGTAGATAGTGACCTGGATGGAACTGGCTTCTTTATCAAGAAGAATATAATTCTGCATGAGGACTTAATGAATTCAAACTCGTGTCATGCCTGTGTGCATACCCAATTAAACACTGGAAATAAAAATTGTTTTGCTGAACTTTGCATGGCTTCAAACTTATTCTACTATATTTTAAAACGTCATCTATTGATAACTGCCTTAATTGATCCTGACTTTTAAAAATTACCCACTCTTTATATATTCCGTCTCTCTTTTGCTGCGGCTGGCAGAGATCTCTTGTATATGTTTACGTTGGCCTGCCTGCACTCCTATACACAGATAATACTTAATTTTTCTAGCTAAAGTAGTACAGTGGTCCCTCCTTACCCACAGAGGGTGCGCCCCAGTGGATAGTCCCAAACCCTAATTAGCTTCTTCAGCTCTGCCGGAAGTGTGGCGGCAGCTGCTTCATTGGCAGATGCGGCCTCTCCAGTAATTTTTATATGTTTCAGTCCAAACCTATTCCTGAATCTATAACCCTCCCTTACTTGCAGTGTAAATGGCTTGGTGTCGCTCGTTTCTGGGGATCCCTCGCTGAAGTCTTCGTATAGTCCTCGGTGCTTTCCGGCGTAACACGTTACGGTCCATCGGAACACGTTTTCCGTTCACATCTTCCACCCACAGATGTGATGGCTTTCCATCTTAACTGAGCACTTACCACAGTGTGGCCATAACTTTTGCAGTTTGAGGTGTAACGGCAAAACTAGCATGAATTTCCCTTCACCGTTTCACGGATAGCGATTTGTTCTTAACGTAGATCTTAGCAACCTCGGTGCACGATGTTTTTTCTTTTACTAAGGCGAGAACTTTAACCTTTTCGCTTCTGAGACACTTAGCAGCTTCTCTTTGGCATCCGAATTGCCGGCATCACTCCTCTTGAGCTTTGGGGACGTTAATAAGTAGAATAAGGTGACTTAAGCACTGACACTGCGTTGCCGAGACAATCTAATAACCGAGATGGCTACTGAGTGACTAACAGGCTAAAGGCGAAGCCGCTGGACGAAGGGGCGATTCACGTCCTGGGCAGGATGGAGTAGAACAGTGTTAGAGTTCACCACGGTACTCAGAACCGTGAGCAACTTAATTTATTTTCTGAATTTTCTATTTCATAGTTTCGGACCTTGGTTGACAGTAACCGGAACCGAGGCTGGGGGACAGCTACTGTGCAGGATATTTTTACCTTTTCTTACAGACAACTGAGTGAAAAGAACATGAATTTGGGGGTCAAACCAGCTCTATACTTTCTAGATGTGTAAGCTTAGATACATTTTCTAACTCCTCTGAATTTTTGCCCTTCTGTAAACAATAACCATAGTATCTATTTTAGGGTTTTTAGATTTAAGTGAGGTGCTGTTTGTTCCAAACAAGTAGTGTGTTTGCCACACACTATTGGCAAAACATGACAAAGCTATAGCTGGAAATAATGGGTACTTAAAATCTTGGAATGTTAGGACTGAAAGGGCCTTAAAAATGATCAAATCCAGCAGTTCTTAACCCTGTCAGACCCAATATTCTCTATCTATAAAAATTAATTTTTTTCTTCCTATTTTGAAACGAGATTCATAGATAATAAACATGTAACATATCTACATGTATAACTTGATATATACTCAATGTATAATACAGAATATCGTTCTCCTAGAAAAGGGAAGTTATGATAAAAGTATTTCAATATGTGAAGTCGATGTTTGCACCAATATACAGTCACTAACAATGCAATAACTTCATGTACCATAAACTGTTTTGCTGTGGTGATGAGATCTTAAGGGATGTATGATTCTTGGTAAAGTTCTGAACAAAACTACATTCTTTTCTTAGTTTACATGGTAGATGTGTTCCTGGAAAAGTCAGTGTATTATTAAAACCATCAAAAAATACTTATGTATGAAAATGAAGTTAGGTTCAAGATTCAAAGTTCAAATAATTATATTCATTTCTGCTCTTATATTTATTATTTTCTGTTTCCTTTGATCATTTCTATTTGCTTACATCATTGATTTTCAGCTTTCTTGTTTTCTAATTTCCGTTGTGATTTTTTCTTTGACCCGTGAATTATTTAGATGTATGTTACTTAATCTCCAAACATTTGGAAGCTTTCTAGTTATCTTTTTTAAAAATTCGATTTCTAGCTTAATTGCACATGATCATTAAACATATTCTGATAGTTTTCAGTTATTTGAAATTAATTGAGATGTTCATTATAAACCAGCCTGTGATCAGTTTTGATCAGGGTTCCTGTCCACGTGAAGAATATGTATTCAGTCACTGGGTGCTTTATTATATTGATTAGGTGAGGTTTCCTAATCATGTTTTTCAGATATCCTGTATCCTTACGATTTCTTACCTAGCTCTTATCAGTTCCTAAGAAGAGATAAAGTGTTATGATTATAGATTTATATTCCTATCCTTTTTTCCTTAGATATTTTGTTAGGTGGACATAAATGTAGAATCGTTTTATCTTTGCCGTGGATTGACCCTTTTATCATTGTGGAATGCCTTTCGTTATTTCCAGCAAAGTTTATTTTATATGATATTAGTGTAGCTGTGCTTTTGGTTAGTGTTTGCATAATCAATCCTTTTCATCCTTTTGCTTTCAGCACTTTATGTTTATATTTTTCAGGTCTTACCTGGTAGCAGCATGTACTTTTTAAAAATGACGTCTGGTAATTTTTGTCTTCTAATTGGAACATGTGATGCGGTTGGTTATAATATCGTTCTCCTCTGATATATTCGGATTCACTGATATATTCGGATTCACATCTGCCGTCTTAATATTTGTTTTTTTACTTGTCTCAATTTTATGTACCTTTTTTTTCTCGTTTCTGGCATCTTTTCAATTAGTCAAATATTTTTATTATATCATTTCCCCTTTCTGTGAACATGCTTCATATTTATTTTTCTATTCTTTTAGTGACAGCCTTCACTTAACAGAGAATTTAATATAAATTAGAATAATCTTTACTACTTTCCAAATGTTTATCGTTGATATACATATACCGTTTAAGGCATTATTTTTGTTTTATAGAGTTGAATATTCATCTGCATTTACCAACGGTTACTCTTTCTACTGCTCTTCATTCTTTTATCTGGGGTCTTTTTCCTGCTTCCCGAAGAACTCTAATTTTTATGTCATTTAGTGTGGGTCGGCTAATGAATTCATTCAGTTTATGTTTGTTTGGAAACATCTTTATTTTGCATTCTTTTTTAAAGGATATATTCGCTGCCTATAAAATGCTAGCATTTTCTTTCAGCACTTGAAAGATGGCACTCTATTTTCTTCTGGTTGTTATGTCACTGTTGAGAAGTTAGCTGCGGGTCTTACTGCTATTTGAAAGATCACTGTCCGGGTCACTGCATCTGCAGGCAGGAATAGAGCTGGTTGAGGCAGGGCCAGTAAGGCTGGGCCTGTCTCTGGTTCAGCCCCTCTCCTAACGTGCGACTTTCCAGAGATCTGAACTGATAATCTACAGTATTTTCTAAGGCCCCTTCTCCTGGGCAAGTCCCAAACTCCATTGTTTGTCACCTCGGCTCTCTGAGACCACCAGAAACACCAATTTGTTTTTTAACCAGCTTTCAGCCTCCTTAGCCTTTGCCCCGAATGACATAAGAATTGGGCAGATGCCTCAAAGGGAAAACCAAAACCTATCGCGTTCTCTTACTAGAGTTTTCAGGGGTTTCGAACCCTCACGTCTCAGCTGACTGTACATCCTGCAGCCCCACACTCCTCTTACTTAACTTAGTTATTTGCCTGCCCTCCCATCTCAGAACAATCCACGAAAGCCTGCTTCCTAATACACCCCTCTCCCAATGCCTGACTCTGATTTTGCCTCCTTGTCTTAGCTGGCATGACGACTCTCCAGTTTGTTCATGTTTTTTGTTCCGTGATTGATTGTACATAGTTTATCCAGTTTTTCTAATTATTCTCAGTAGGAGTGTTCATCCACTGTGAGCCATTTCATTGTCATTGGGAATGTCCCCTGAACTCTGATTATTATACATAGGCTTTTTACCTACAAAAACGTCAGAAAATTTAAAAATGTGTAAGATATGAGATCATTCTTTGGGAATTTTGGCACTTGTCACGCTGGAAAAATTATATTTTTTCTAACAAAAGAGGAATATGTACTGGTGCACTTAAATATTAAAGCAATGTATTTTCTCATAAATCTTAGAAACAATGGGTTCTCTAAAAGCACCCATCTAGGCAGGTGGCCCCTCTTAAGTAATCTGATGTTATGTGCGTCATTCACCGATTACGGTATTCGAACTACCTTGCGTCTCTTTAAGTTATTCTGGTCCCACTTCTGTTAAAAATGAAATGGTTAGAATAGCTTAACCCGCAAAAATTGTGTCGCAGTTTTATTTCTACTTTTTAATCAAAATGTTTTGAGGATTTCTTAGTCTCATTTTCAAAGAAGCTTATACTGCTTCTTTACTGAAGGAAGGGGACCAGCGTCTGTATTTGGTTCATCCATAGCAACGTTCACGAAATACTTGCTGAGGTGCAGGTTCTGCCTTCCGAAGAAGTTGACTGATGAGATTCATACAGGAGATGTTTAAAATCCCTACTTCTTGATTTTTTTCCATGAGGTCATATTCTAACCGCCTGTGTGACTTTGTGTAAGTTACTTTTCTTCCCTGGTCCTCAGTTTTTCCATCTGTAAAAACAAGTGAGTTAAAATAGATGATCCTAAAGTAACTTCAGCTCTGCCCTTCTGGTCTTCTGCAGACTGCGATTGATCGTAGAACCCTCCAAATATGGCAACATTCCTTTCTTTTAAAAAAGGTAGTGCAAACTGAAAACACGGAGAAAAATAACATAACACTGTTTACATCACCCAGGATTAACAAACAGCATTTTCACGATATTTACAAAGATCTTATTTAATGAAATCGATATCTCTGATTAAGTCTTCGCTCCCTTTTGCTACCCTTCCATTTCCGTTTCCTTCCCTCTGTCCCCAAAGCCAGCATGAGCACGTCCTTCGGTCCACATCTTGCTTTTATTATATCCACAGCCATAATCATTACAGTGTTATATTTTTAATTTACATATATCATAGTATCTAATTTGCTTTTTTCATTCAGTTCATTTTTGA